AGAGAGTCCAGTGTCCTGCTCAGCTTCAGGGAAGTGACTCGCCTCTGGGCAGACCAGGGAACTACCCTCTGAGACGGGGAAGCTGAGGCTTGGCCGGCAGGAAAGGAGAGACCACCTGACCCTGGGCCCAGGCCCTCTCGGTGTCCCCTGAATTGCACACTGAGGGGCAGGGGCCTCAGGAGGGAGACACGGGACACTGGGATACAGTCCCCCAAGCCAGAAGCTGGGGGACACGGCGCAGGAGGGAGCAGGGGAGGCTGGGTGTGGAAGCTGGCGGAGCAGGTCGGGGCGGGGTGCTCCTGGGAGCAGCCCTGAGCAGCGGGCCCTCCCTGGTGCTTCCCCAGCCTGATCTGGCCTGCTGCAGACACTGGTCCCGTACCCAGCGGCAGATGCCCGGGAGTGGCCTCTAGTAGCCAGTCGGGTAAACTGCGTGAATCACAGCCTTGAAGCTGACTTTGGGCCTCCAACGTTCCCCAAAGGGAGGGTCCCAGGAGCTGCCGGCCTGGGCATAGTCAGGGCTTCTGCAGGGCAGGCATCTCAGGGCTCCTGGCTTCTGGGCCGCCTTACGCCATGAAGGGAAGACTGGGTCTGTGTCCTTCCCGGCTGCTGCTGAGTGCTGGGCCGTGGTGACACCACTGTCTCCAGCCACCCGCAGTCTGCGGTGTGCTGTCCTGATGTAGGAAGGCAGATAAAGTTTTCATTTCATGTTAGGGATCTTTCTCCCGTGGATTAAACAGGCGTTTTGAGCAATGCATTTGGCCCTTCTTTGTGGTGTTCCCGTGCAGATAAAGGGACGTGCATTCCTTGTCTTCCCCTGGTGACCCTTGCCTCAGGGACACGGTCTGAACTCCATGGTCCTGTGTGACATGGCAGGCCCCCCCCGCCGATTCCCCTGCAAGAGGGTCTTGGGCATCTAACCGACTGCACCCAGCTCAGCCTCTGTGCCACCCTGGGATGGACACTGTCATTGGCAGCTCCTGCTGCACCCGGCATCCACCTGGAGATCTTGGAACCGCAGTACCCGCGCCAGTTGACACCCACCTCCGTCACCGTCACTGTGGTTTACTCTGAGGCTGTCTCCCCACAGGCGCCTTCCATCCCCTGTCCTGTGTGACCACAGAGACGCCCCCGAGTCTGTGGTGACAGGGAGGGAGACACAGCAGGGGTAAGCAAGCCCTCTGAGAATTCCTTAACTAAAAGGGTTTTTTTCTGGAAAGCAACAAGCTATTTGTAGCCCAAGTTGGTTGAACAGATTTTTCTGGGTGTAATTTATTTTTCACTCATTAACTTCTCTTTCTTATGAATTAAAAAGTAGTGCTTCTTTCCACCCCGGAGTGTCTCGTGTACTTCTGCAGCACAGCCACACGTCCTCTGCCTGCCGGGAAGCAGACTTCGATCCCACTCCGGGAGGCCACAGCCCCTTACGTAGGTGGACATGGTATGTCCAGCCAGGCCCTGCCAACCTGGCCCCTTCCCAATGTCACACGTCCCCCAGAGCTGTGCTGTTCGAGGGACAGGAGCATGAGGGTTTGGCCTGGGCCATTCCAGGGGTGTCACCTGGGAGAACTTGGGGCACATCCTACGAAGCTGCTGGCCGGTGCCCTTGCCCATTTTCCTGCCTTCAGAAATGTCCCAGATGCTTTGTCTGTTAGGCAGTGGGCGCTGTCAGCCCACCGATCTCCCAGCTGGACGGTGGGCAGCAGCTGTGTGTCTGGGAGGGTTCAGGGCCGTCTCATGAACGTAAGGTCATGAGTGCCCAAAGCCCCAGTTGGAGACACAGCCCCTGCATCCCTGTCCCAGGCCAGCAGCCTCTGGTGACCCTCAGGCACTTCACAGGAGGCACTGACCAGCCTGCCCTCGGCTTCTCCTTCCGGGGAGTGGCTCCAGTCCTCTTCCCATCAGCTCCATGCTGGCTATGCAGACCTAAAACTCTGGTTTCTGATCCAACGTTTCTGTATACAATCTTTTGAAGTGCACTTACCTGAATAAAAATGATCACACTTACATGATACACTTCATCCTTTTTGCCTCCCATTTCCAGAATTGTTTTAAAACATGATTCTTGTACACATGCACCTCCCACCCCCTACTGGAGCTATGCCCTTGACCTGCAGTCCACGCCCCTCAAGGCCTGACCCAGGACAGCTTGGAGCCCCCTCCCCCCAAGCTCCAAGTAGGCCAGTGCTGTCCCGGCCCTTTGCAGTGTCTGCCCCATTGAGGACAGGTTCCTGTCTCTCCTCCTGTGTCCAGAGCACAGGCTTGCATGGGTCAGTGCATGCTAAACACCCAAGTGTCATTTTGCAAAGCTCAAGGTCCCCAAGACAGGATTCCCACCAAGTGCCTGGGGGCTGAGAGGGTCAGAAATCCTGCCTGTCACTTCTAGTGTCCCCTCCCTGCCTTTCTCCTAGATTCCAAATTCCCCAAAAGCTCTGAAACTTAAAGGGTTTCAGACCTTGATGGTAATTCCAGCCCTAAACTGATGTGCAGCCAATTATTATGGTCTTTATTTATTCAGTTCATGTGAACAGTGGTGTTTCACTACAAAAATCTTGAGTTTGATGAGGAGGTGCAGCCCAGACTCGAATGAGGTGTCACATAATGCATGAGATATAGAGAGAACTCTGAATTCCAAGCACATCTGGTCCTGAGGCTTTGGGTGAGGGTTTAGAGAAGGGCAGGGTCCCCACACTCGTCATAGTTCCGGACCAGCAGAGGCGCCAAGAGAGAGGGAGCCAGGATTTGGCAGAGCCATGGAACTGCTCGCCTGCCTGTCTCACATGCGCCAGGTGCTGGGGATCCTGAGACGGAGGAGCCCGAAGGCCAGAGGACAGGCCAAGGGCTGGGGGAGAGATGGGCGTTTCCGGCCTGTGGGGACTGCAGCAGGCCCTCCAAGGGGGCTGATGCCTGAAGAACTGATGACCCCAGACCCGACTGTCCCTTTCAGAGGGACTGAAGACTCCAGATGTGCCACCTGGGCACAGTCCCAGTAGGTTCAGGCTGAGGGGACCTGGAAGCATGCTAGCAACACAGAGGACTGGAGACACTCATGCTTGTGAGCCCTGCCAGCTCACCAGACGTCTGGGGCCTCAGCTTCCCCATCTGTGAATGGGGTGCAGGCCCCAGCCCTGCTCTCACAGTGCCAGCACTGGAGGCCTTCCCCCTGCTGCCCTTGCCAGGTGGTAAGAGGTCTGCCTGGGGGTCTGCAGCGCCAGGATGGGAGGAGGGGAGCAGAGGGCTGGCAGGCCTCGCAGGGCGGGCCAGTCCTGTCCCAGATGCTAGCCCAGTTACTCCTCACACAGAAGCCCAGGAAAATAAAGCCAGATAAGACAGGTGGGACAACCACCCAGGGGCTGGGACCCTGCCGCTTGCCCAGGTGTGTCTCCCTCCAGGGAGCGTGTGCACAACACTGGGCAGGCTGCAGGAAGGGTGCTGGGGCGCGGGCCCTCCCGCCCTTCCGGGCAGTGACCACCACCTTCCCTGCCCTGGTCAGGCGCAAGACTCCCCAGGCGGGCGCTTCCCACGGCCGTGGTGAGGAGGTGAGGAGGGGGCAGCCACCGACTTCGAGCAGGCGGAGCGTGCAGGGGCCGGCGAGGCAGCGAGACCCCCAGGGGCAGGCCTTACAGAGGCGCCCCGCGGAATGATGCAGAGGCCCAGGCACGGACCGTGGGTCCTCCGGGGCGCGGGAGTAAGGGTCCTGGACTGGGCAGGGCGAGAGAGCAAGGGCGCCCGCCAGGCAGTGGGCGCGGTGAGCGAGGGCGGCGCGGACGTCGCCCGGGTCTCGGGCGCGGCCGGCGGCGGGCGCGGGGGCCTCGGGGGCGTCTCGGTCTCCGCCCCCGCCCCCGCCGGCCGCGCCGGGTCGCGCGTGGGCGCGGCGGGCGCCGATTGGCTGTCGGGCGCGCGGGCGGGGCGGGCGGCGGCGGCGCGGAGGGCCGGTCACCCCGCAGCCCGGCCTCGGCCTCCGCCGCTCGTCTCCGCGCCCCGCGCGCACGGCCCCCGCCGGCGGCCACCATGAGCACCGGCCTGCGGTACAGGAGCCAGCTGGCCACCCCAGGTGAGCCCGGCGCCCGCCCGCGCGCCTTTGTCCCCGCCGCCCGCCCGCCCGCCTCTCACCGTGTCTCTCCGTCTCTCCCCCGCCCGCCCGCCGCGATCTGGCCCCCGACCCGCCCCGACCCCGCAGAGGACAAGCAGGTACGTGCGCGCCGCCGCTCGCCGGCCGCTGTCACCGCTGCGGCCCAGGCGCGACCCCGCCCCCGCCGGCCGTCATCCTGCCCTGTCGCGATCACCGACTGTCAGCCCGGGCAGTGCCGCCGCGCCTGGGCTGCGAAGGGAGGGGTGGGCGCCCTGCCGCCTCCCGCCTGACCCTCACGGCACGGCCGTGCACCCCTCCCAGGACGGGGCCTGGGCTGAGTGCCACTTTCCCACCGGTCCAGCGCCAGCATCTCCTTGCTGACCTGGCCTTGTGCCGTGTGCTGAGGGGGTCCTGAGTGTGGCCACGGTCACAGCAGGCCACAAGCTGGGCCAGGGGTCTGCATCCGCCAGCCGGCACAGAGACCCTGAGCAGCCCCACCCCACCCTCCATCTCTTACATCCCCTCTTTCTGCGCACCGACTTGAGCGGGTGGCTCTGTGGCCAGGTCTGCTTCCCAGACTGGGACCTTCTAGGGCCTGGTCTGAGTCATCCGCGTGCCCAGCACAGGTCTTCCAACCTAGTGGGGACAAATAGGCTTGTGGCTTCCCAAAGGAGCAGGTGTGGTCACCACCCTCTGGGAATGCAGGACCCCACAGGAGACTGGTTTGGACATTTGCTGTGAAACTCACCTGGGGTTGGGGTTAAACAGAGCTGGGAGACCCCAAGAGTGCGGTGGGGGTGGGTAACCAGGTGGGCTGGCGGTTCTGGGCATCTCTGCTGGTATCCTCTCTGGCTTGAGCACAGCCTTGTCTGGGGACCAAAAGAGGGCCCCACTTTGGCACCAGGGTGCCCTTGGCAGCCCTTGGGGATGGAGGCTCACACACAGGGTGGATGCTGGGTGGAACCCAAAGTTCCTGTCTGCCGTGTAGCAAGCAGGCCATTAGTGGCCCAGAAGGGGGCCACTCTCCCAGCAGGGATGCGCCCTACACTGGGATAGGTGAGACTGATGGGGAGGAGCCCATCAACTTCACCTGAGCAGGGAGGGCTCCTACGGGAGGCCGGACCAGAGCTGCCTCCCGGTCCACCGAGGCTGGTCAGACAATGCCTGAGCTTCAGGGACACGCGCTGCCAGGCTATTGTTTGAGGGAAAGAGGGAGCACAGGCTAGGAGAGCAGCCCCACAGCTTCTCAGGGGCCTGCAGGCACCTGGAGTCACTGGGCCAGGCAGCTGGCTGCCCAGTACCACCCAGGGAACCCTCCAGGGGTGTGAGCCCCTTCAGGCCTGTGCCTGCCCATCTTTCCAGGTTAGCTTGGAGCCAGCCTCACCCTCCCCTGCCCCTAGGACCAGAGGGACAGGGCATTGTACAGCAGAGGGGAGAACCCTGGGTGCAGGGCCAGGAAGCCAGGTGTTTGGGGTGGGCTCCCCATGGGTCTGGGGGACCGGAAGCTGGGTGTGCACACATGGTGGCTTTATCTGCACATGGTGGCTGCGCTGCTCCCATTGTTGGTGTCACTGAGCTTCAGCCTGTCGGCCCTGGACGAAAGGGGGTGGGAGAGCTCTGGTGGCCCTCTGCGCCCTCCTTTTGTGACCCTCTTCCTGGCTGAGGGGGTGAGGGGGGCTCTCTTGACTCTGGAGGCTGCTTCCCGAGCTGACTCTGGTGATTCTAAGAACGGACGTGCCTCGAGAGTCTCAGGCGCTGGGAGGAGGCGGGCACAGCTGTGTCTGGGGCTCGGAAAGCCCTGAGGAGTATTTGTTTTGCTGCAGGAGCCAGGGAAAGGGGGTGGCAGGGCCCCTTTCTTGGGGCTCCCCCAGGGAATACACAGGCCCTGTCTGGTGGAGGCTGGTGATAGGGCAGGCAGATTGGGGGCTGGGAGGGAGACTTGCCCTCCTGACCTGGGCCTCCCTAGAGGCTGTGCCTTAACCAATGAGGAGACCGAGGCCATCTGTGGGCCGCAGGCTCGTTCAGACACCGGGCTGTGGAATGCCGAGGCTCCTCAGCCCGAGACCCAGGTCTGGGTCCATCTGTCTTCCTGGAGGTGTCCTGGGCCTGAGATGCCAGCCTGTCTGCGCGGCAGCTGGGCTGAGGGGCTGTACCTACAGTGGACCCACTGGTGGAGTTTGGGCTGGACTCAGCAGAGGCCTCCTGCAGGTCAGCAGGGCAGAGGGCTGGGTCAAGAAGACGCTTTCCCCAAGAAAGGACTGGGGGGGGCCTGGAAAGCTGGGGGCCTGGGGGCTTCCCCCTGCTCCCCACACTCTCCTCTGGATGAAGGTTTCTCCTGTTCCCAGCCGTGGGCCCACCCCTCCGCTCCAGGTGCCAGCAGCCTCCAGGCCCCACAGGCAGCATCGGGAGTGTGGATGGAGGCCGCATAATAACCAGGGGAGCCAGGAGGGGCGTCTAGGTGGGGACCCCCTGTCCCCCAGGCAGCTGGGGGGCTGCCTATCCCTACTGACACACACAATACAGGGTGTGCATCTTTTCATACACCCCCCCACACACTCCCCGGCTCCTTTCCAGGCCTCCCCCTGCCCCACCGGCTCTGTCTTGTTGATTCTGGGGGCGGGGCAGGGGGAGGGGCAGGAAGAGTTTGTCGTCCCAGGGGGTCAGAGCTAAGATGGCTGGAGCTCTCCATCCATTCCCCGCACCCAGCCCTGTGGGTCGGAGTAAGCGCTGGGGAGCTCAGAGAGCGAGCACCTGATGGGAAGGGGGGCCCACTCGGTGCCCCCTTCTGCTGGCAATGGCTGTCTGGAGACAGCGGTGGGGACGCACAGATGGCGGGTTGGTGTGTGGGGCAGAGCGCTGGCCGCAGCTTCCAAGTTTCCAGAGGCAGGGCGGGTGGGGTGGGCGAGTGTCCGGTGCTCTGACCGCAGCCCCCCGCCCCCGCCCCACGGAAGGCTCCGCGGGCCTGGGGATGGTCCAGGCCTGGGAGGGGGCTGTTCCCCGCCTCGTTCCCACTTGTCTCGGGGACCACGAGTCCTCCAAACACACACACGAGGTGGGGGTGCGTCCGTGGGCAGCTGGGGGCGGCGTGACACCGCCAGATTTTCGGGCGGAGTCTGTAAGGAGAGAAGGGGTGAACCCGGCGGGCTCCCGTGTGGGTCCCGGGAGCGTCCTCCGGCGCCCCCTGGCGGGCGGAAGCCGCGCCACGCCTCTGGGGAGTGGGACGCGCCGCAGTTACAGACCCGGGGCCCGCGGGAGGCAGCGGCCTCCCCGCAGCGGCCACTCGGGGCGTCGGGATGCCTGGGCCGAGGCCGCAGGTCGGGCGGCGGGGGTCCCCGTCCGTGCAGCGGCGCACCAGCCCCCGCGCCTGTGCTCAGCCCGGCCCTCCGCAGCAGCTTTCCAGTGGCTCCGCCCGCGGCCCAATTTCCAGGCGACTGTTTCCCGGCGACAGCGCGGGCAGGGCGGTCTCTGCCCCACCCCGCGAGCGCCGGCGAAGCCCCGCCTCCGGTTCGGTGGGAGCAGGGCCTGCCTGTGGCTGCGACACGCGCCGCGGGCCGGTCCGCAGCGGCAGGAGGATGGCTTGCAAGGCCTCCCGGGTCGGTGGCATCCCGGGTGGGCAACGTCCCCTCGCCAGTCAGTTCCCACATCCGTAAATCGGGGCTAGAACAGGGCTTCAAGGCACTACCGCGCGTAAGTCCCTGGAGAACGCCTGGCTTTGGAGCCTGACGGGGTCTGAGGCCCCCACGCAGCAGGCAGAGTCTAGGGGTTCTCTGCCATGGACTCGCTGGCAGCACCCCAGGACCGCCTGGTGGAGCAGCTGTTGTCCCCTCGGACCCAAGCCCAGAGGAGGCTTAAGGTGTGTGTGGAGGGGGGAGTGGAATGTGGGTCAGAGTGTGTGCGCCCGCGGGGGCGGGGCCTCAGAGGGCTGCGGGGCTGTGAGGAGGGCCTCGGGGCAGGGGCTGCGGGGTGGGTTGGCGGGGCGACTCAGCACAGCTGTCTATAAATAGCCGCTGCTCCTGCTCGTTGCTGGAGCCAGCCACCCCCGCGGCTGGATCTGGGCCAGATGGGGCCTCCCACCCTCTGGAAGGGTGAGTATTGAGGCCCTGGGGCTTCTCCAGCCTATGTAGGGCCTTGGGCGTGTCTAAGGGATCTGGTGCCCACTGCTCACCAGCCAGGAGAGGGCCCACGTGTACCTGCTCAGGCCTGACATCCCCCTCCACACACACGCGGGTCGCTGCAGAGCTCCTCGCGGAGGCTGGGGCTTGCGTGCCTTCACCTGCCACCTCTGACCTGCCTTCCCACCACCAGACCTTTGCCCACGGGCCCTCACCCAGTTCCTGCCATTGAAACATGCTACTTGGAGGACTCTGTCCTCTGCTGGGTAGGAGATAGGGCATCAGGCTGCCCCAAGGGCCTTGGCAGGCCCCTGACCTGTCCTGCCCCTGCCTCCAGGATATCGACAAGCAATATGTGGGCTTCGCCACACTGCCCAACCAGGTGCACCGAAAGTCCGTGAAGAAGGGCTTTGATTTCACGCTCATGGTAGCTGGTGAGTGGGCCGGGCTCCCAGGTGGGTGGCTGGGGCCACTGGCTGGCCAGGCTCTGTTTTAGGGGCCTCGGCCTTAACCCAGCTTTCACTTTCCTATGGGCAGGTGAGTCGGGCCTGGGGAAGTCCACACTGGTCCACAGCCTCTTCCTGACCGACTTGTACAAGGACCGGAAGCTGCTTAGTGCTGAGGGTGAGTGGGCCCCATGCAGCCCTGGCACAGCTTCCTCATCCCCTGCGGTGTGACCCCCCTCACAGGGTGCCCTTCCAGGTCCAGGCCCTGCTCCTCTCTCCCCATAGCATGGGGCTCCTGTTTACGGTCCCGGAGGAGCGGCCCAAACCACAGTCAGGCCTCACGGCCAGGGCCAAAACAGTAGGATGAAGGAGACTCAGGGTCCTGGCTGCCTGGTAGGGGTGAGGGTCAGAGAGACCTCTCCAAACAAGGCCCCCCACCCCACAGAGCGCATCAGCCAGACCGTAGAGATCCTGAAGCACACTGTGGACATCGAGGAGAAGGGGGTCAAGCTGAAGCTCACCATTGTGGACACGCCCGGCTTTGGGGATGCTGTCAACAACTCTCAGTGGTGAGCGAGGCCCAGCTGGGGAATGATCTCTGCCCAGGCTGATCGGACCTGCCGCAGGCTGGCGGGCCGCCCTCGAGGCCTGGCCTCATGCACCCTCCTGCCTGCAGCTGGAAGCCCATCACCGACTATGTGGACCAGCAGTTTGAGCAGTACTTTCGGGATGAGAGTGGCCTCAACCGCAAGAACATCCAAGACAACAGGGTGCACTGCTGCCTGTACTTCATCTCCCCCTTCGGGCACGGGTACGTGGCTGTCCTGGGGCTGCCCTCCCGCGGGTCTCCACCACGGCCACACAGCCACCCCCCAGCCCATCCCCAGCCTCTCCCTGCACCCCACCACCCATCATGCCCTCACCACACCTTGGTAGGCTGCGGCCCGTGGACGTGGGCTTCATGAAGGCTCTGCACGAGAAGGTGAACATTGTTCCCCTCATTGCCAAAGCGGACTGTCTCGTCCCCAGCGAGATCCGGAAGCTGAAGGAGCGGGTGAGCCTGGCCCAGGGCTCTGGGGCCGAGAGCACCAGGTGTGCGGACCCCGGGTGCCACCGTGCCGCGCCCGGGGGGTCTGCCAGCCCTCCAACCTAATGGCTCTTTTTCTGCCGCAGATTCGGGAGGAGATTGACAAGTTTGGGATCCACGTGTACCAGTTTCCTGAGTGTGACTCAGACGAGGACGAGGACTTCAAGCAGCAGGATCGGGAACTGAAGGTGTACATGCAGCCCAGTGGGCAGGGGAGGGAACTGGGGGCCAGTTCATATGGGCCCAGAGGGCCAAGTGCCCAGGTCCAGCTTGGTGGGGGCCAAGGGTCTTGTGTCTGGGCAGTAGAGCCCCCTCAGGGAGCTAGGGCTGCCCTGTTCCCAGCAGGCTCGTGTAGTTGGGCCTCACATGGTTCCCATGGGTCATGGAGCCCTTGGCAGGACCCAAAGGCACAGCTGCTGGCCAGGGCTCCCCCCAGCTCTGCTCCCCATTGTTCTCCCCATGGGTCACCAGCAGAAGGGCCCGGCCTATTGGCCACAGGCATATCCTGGATCCCAGAATTCTGTTGGTGGTTGGGGTGCCCTGGAGGCTAAAGTGGTGGTGACCAAGCCACTGGACATGTGCCACCAGGCAAGGAGCAGAGTGGGGCCCCTGGCCCCAACCAGTCAGCAGGGGCATCGCTAGCAGGAAGCAGGGCTCAGCCTTGGGGAGGGGAAGGGCCAGGTAGCTAGACAGAGCAGCTCTTGGTGGGGGGTATCAGAAGGGGAGGGTGTGCCTGGTTGGGCACAGCCTTGCAAGGGCCCTAGGGGGTAAGGTTTACCGGTCGTGGCTTCAGGGGCACCACAGGGACAAGAAGGGGGCAGAGGGAGCCACCAGAATCTCTTTGGGGAGAGGCTAACCAGGTGCTCAGTGCCCACGCCCCTTTCCAACCACCAAGCAGCACTCATAGTGCCCAAGCCTGAGCCCTTGCACCTGCCCCTCCCCAGGAGAGCGCACCCTTCGCTGTTATCGGCAGCAACACGGTGGTGGAGGCCAAGGGGCAGCGGGTCCGGGGGCGACTGTACCCCTGGGGGATCGTGGAGGGTGAGTTCCGGAATGGGGTGTGGCATGGCCAGCGGCTGGGAAGGCTCCCCAGGACCCACACCCCACCCACCGCCCCGCTCCTGCCCCACAGTGGAGAACCAGGCGCACTGCGACTTTGTGAAGCTGCGCAACATGCTTATCCGAACGCACATGCACGACCTCAAGGATGTGACGTGCGACGTGCACTACGAGAACTACCGCGCACATTGCATCCAGCAGATGACCAGGTGAGCTGCCTGCCCCAGGCCCCCATCATGCACCATGTCGCCCCAGCCCCGTCTCCACCCACCCAGACCTGAACCTTGCTCCAACCCCCCAAATCAGTGCCTAGTAGTACCTTTCTACCCAGAGCCAGCCCAGACGTGTGGGAGCTCAGGAGGGCAGGGCCTTGCTAGCGTCAGCTGAGCCTCCCAGCAGCCCCGTCCCTCTTGTCCACCCCTCAGCAAACTGACACAGGACAGCCGTATGGAGAGCCCCATCCCCATCCTGCCACTGCCCACCCCGGACGCTGAGACGGAGAAGCTCATCAGGATGAAGGACGAGGAGGTGGGTGGGGCCTGGGGGAGGCACAGGGGGACAGGCCCCTCCTGTGGCGTTTCTCATCTCTCCCTTGTCCCCACCCCCCCTCCACACCCCCCAGCTAAGGCGCATGCAGGAGATGTTGCAGAAGATGAAGCAGCAGATGCAGGACCAGTGACTCCGCCCCAGCTCCATGTTGCCATGGATACACTGCCAGTTTGCAGGCTGGCCCTTCCCACCCCTGGACCCTAACTGGCCTGGACTCAACCCTGGATTCATCTGGATCCCCTACAGGCCTGGACAGAGCCCCAATCCCAGAATGGTCCAGACCCAGACTGTTCCTGACCTGACCTGGAAACGCAGGGTCACAGCCCCCAGCCAACCCTAATTTATTCTCAGCACCAATTCCTCCCTCATTTGTACCTGCTTCCTGGGGGCCTGACAACAGCACGCACAGCTGGGCCCTCTGGCCTTGGGGGGCAGTGGCTGGGCTGGGTGTGACTTCTGAGATCTACCCCTACCCCAGAAGTTCACATGCTTAGACTCCAGTCCCTACTCGGGGAGGGTGGGTGCACCAAGGCAGAGGAGAGGAGCAACCCCCCAGGACCCCGGGCTTAGACCCCACCCCAGTGCTGCTGAGCAGGCCTGGCAGCCCTCATGTGCCTGCCTCCACGGGCCGCCCAGCATATGCGGGGACCTTACTTTGTGGGAGGTAGGCCCAGCCCTTCCTTACCTCCTCACCCCTCCACCCTGTCACCACTGCGTAGCTCAGCAGGCTGGGTGGGCAGCCGAAGCACTTTGGGGCCCTCTAGACCTAAGGAGGCCGGCTGGCTGTGGGCAGTGAGGACCTCTAAAGCCGGGAGGCCTGTGACTGCCCATGCTCCTCCCCCATGGCGATGGCCTGGCCTGAGGGCTCCAGGACAGCGGGCAGTAGGCAACTTGGCAAACTCTTACCCATAGACTGCCACTCCCTGCCTGTCTCTGGAGGTCCCTGTGTCCCTCCCCCAGGCAGGACGGTCGCCCTGGGTTCCCTAGCCCTTGGCCCCATCTCTCCACCCGCATGATCCCTTTCCCCAAACCCCATTCTCCAGTTTTGTTCAGTTGTGAATGCCGCCTCCTGTCCCGGTGACAGGAGAACAGTGTTGGTGAACGTCGCCGCGGTGTCCGAGTGTCCCTGGGAGCGCGCGGGGCGGAAGCCTGGCCGGCTGGCCGGCGCGGATGATAGCGCGCTATCTGCGGCCGCAGCGCGGCTCCGCTCGGCCTCGGGGTTATTTCTGGCAGGCGGCTGCGCTGCGGTCGGCCCGCCGGCGCGCGGGGGCCTGGCGGGGGCGGGGCGGGCCGCCTTGCTGCCCGGCTCTCTGGCCGACGCCTGGCGCTCCAGAGCAACCACGGCCACCATCCTGTCGCCATGGGCCCCGGTGAGTCTGGGGTGCCGCCGGGCCCGGGCCGCGCCCCGAGCTGTTGGGCTGGAGGGCGCCGCAGTCGTTTGGGCTGCGGGAGGAGGAGCCGCGCAGAGCACGTCCCGCATTGTGCGGGGGGTGGGGGGTGCGGGTGGAGGGCAGTGGGGTCCGGCGCGCTAGGCGTCCAGGCGCCCCTCGAGGTGCTCCGCAGGCCTGCGGGCTCACGGCGACGCTCTTCCAGGGCCGCGAGCGGCGCTGAGCCTGCTGCTCCTTCTGCTCGCGCCGCCGAGCCGCCCGGCCGAGGGCTGCCCCACGCCGTGTGACTGCGCGGGGACACGCGTGGACTGCGGGCGCCGCGGGCTCACGTGGGCCACGCTGCCGGCCGCCTTCCCGCCGGACACTACCGAGCTGGTGCTGACGGGAAACAACCTGACGGCGCTGCCGCCCGGGCTGCTGGACGCGCTGCCCGTACTGCGCGCCGCGCACCTGGGCGCCAACCCCTGGCGCTGCGACTGCCACCTGGTGCCGCTTCGCGCCTGGCTGGCCGGCCGGCCCGAGCGAGCGCCCTACCGCGACCTGCGCTGCGCCGCGCCCCCCGCGCTGCGCGGCCGCCTGCTGCCCTACCTGGCGGAGGACGAGCTGCGCGCCGCGTGTGCGCACGGCGCGCTCTGCTGGGGGGCGCTGGGGGCGCAGCTCCTGCTGCTCGGCCTCGGGCTGCTGCACGCCCTGCTCCTGGCGCTGCTGCTGTGCCGCCTGCGGAGGCTCCGCGCCCGCGCCGCGCATTCGTTGTCGCTGACCTCCCCGCTGGTGGGGGAGCCGGCCGGAGCCAGCGAGTCGTGAGAGGAGCCGACTGGCGCTGGGCGACACGGGCCGGCCAACTCTGCAGGTCCCCGCCCCGAGGAGCCCTCGCCCTAACTGGACCGTTCTCATCCGCCGCCCAGGCACAATCCCCCAGACCACGCCACCCTCTGCAGGCCCCGGTGCATGTGGGCCCGGCTGCTTGCTGCACGCCCACCGCTAGCCAGGCCAGCTGACGCCCCAGACGCTCCGGCAGGTCCGGGGGCCAACTGCCGCCCACACCCTGCGGAGCCGCCCACGCCAAACTCCAGCGCGGAATAAACCCTTCTCCCCATCTGACCGGCCTCTGCAGCACGAGACCTGGGATTTCCCTCCCCAAGCTTGCAAAGCCCTGGGAGACGGTTCAAGGGGACACGGGCACACATTCATACACACCCAAAATAACCTCCAGGCACATAAAGTCAGGGAGTCAACTCCCCTTGACTCATGGAAGTTAAGTGTGAAGACAGAGAGGAACCCAAAGGATAGTACCCACACTGTAGGGTGGTGAGGATGCTGTGGGGTCAGCAAGGACACTGGGGGGAGGGGATACGGGACAATGAAGACACAGGGGCCGGACGCCGCAAGGGAAGTGAGGGCCCTGTGTATAGTGAAGGCAATGTGGAGACAGAGGACACGGCAGAGCAGTGCACTTAAGAGAGAGGATGCCGGGCATGGCAGCTTCCGGGTTAGCAAGGGGCCGTGAAGTGGCCCTGAGGCCAGTTCAGAGTGTGAGGTTTCCCCGGTGGCAGGACTATGCCATGTTGGCAGGGCCACCAAGGATGAACTGGGGATGAGCACCTGGAACTCCCTGGGCATCTGAGTGAGAAGCTCAGCCCGCAGGGGGCTATGGGGTGCAGAGACACTAGCCCTGTGAGGGGAGGTCCGGAGAAGGTCCCTGCAGGGGTGAGTGGGTCTCAGGGGTGCCTGTCCTCCATCAGCCACCACTCCCAGGGGGGAAGACACCTCTGGCTGTCCAGATGGGCCAGGCACTCCTCTGGGCCCTGTGTCTCTAGGTCCTCCCCATCCCACCCTCAGCACCCAGGGCATGGAACCCCTCCCTGGTGCCCAGCGCAGCACAGGCTGCCAACGAGAGCCCCGGGGTGCCTGAATGAGAGGCCGATGCCCTCCTCGCCACTGGGGTCCTGCTCCAGCCCTAAGTGTGGCCCCATGAACAATGAAGGCTGCTCTCTATAGGCCCCAAACAGGACCCTCAGGCTTGGGCCCTGGCCGCCTGGCACAGGAAGGCCCTGGCCCCCACTGACCGGGTCGGGGAGGCTGCTGCTGACCCAGCCTTTGTCCTGGCCTTTGTGGAATAAGATGGATGGCCATCCGCTTGGGCTGATGCTATCTCAGGGCTGCCGGTCAGACATGAGGCAGGGGCCACCCCCTCCTTTGTGGGCAGGTAAGGGGCATCCGGCCCATTGTAGACTCAGGCCGACTGTCCAGCCTTACTACCACATCGGGATGCACAAATAAGCGGCCACCCTGTCCTCCCCAGCAGACGGCCCAGGCCCCCCAGGACCCCTGGTGTGGGTCCAAGGTAATGGTCATTGTCAGCAGGGCATACAGGCAACCCCCCAACTCTATCCCAGTGTGGTGCAGAAAGGGGGTGTTCCCTCTACTTTTCAGAAGAGGAAACCAGTTACCAGAGAGGGGTCTCCCTGCTGGCCTGAACTGACTCCATAGCTACACTGGGAGCTGAGCCTAGACCAGGCTCCTGTGACCCACTCTCTGCTCCTCCTCGTTGAGGCTTTTGGGAGACAAACGCAGGGCCAGAGAGAAACATTCTGGGGGTCCCAGGTGACTACAACTTAAGAGAAGGAGGCCCCCTGGGCAGTGGGATGAGGCCCCAGTAGGGGCTGTGGGGAGTGGTCAGCAGGAGCCCAGGTCCACCACCCCTGCCCACAGGCTGGAGGGCATGCGGGCCCACGTCCAGCTGAGAAAGGTGGGCATGGCAGCTCTACAGGGCTGGAGCTGTGGAAGCAGCTGGAGCTTCTCTGGTGGAGGAAAGAGACTGGCACCACAGTGTGGTTAAACCTAAAAAAGGACTTCCTGCTCATGAGAGGGTGCAGCAGCTGAACCCCATGGTTGTTCCAGGAAGCCCTCTTCCCTTCCGCCTCTTACGTTGTTTAGTCTGGTGCCTGCTAAGGTACAGACCATAGCGGGGGTGCGGGACTGTCCTCACTGGCTGGCCATTTTGGGGCTGCCTGGGAGCCCCCAGTTCCAACTCCTGACCCTGAGCTGACCTGCCCTGCACTGACCCTGGGGTCTCAGCCTCCAAGGAGCGTGGGGAAGTGGACAGTCCCAGCTCAGTGCCCCTGAATGGCCCTGTGCGGGAGGCGGAGGGTACACCCCTCCCCCCAGCTCAGGGGCCTACTGGGCCCCTCCGCCCGGAGTTGTCCTCCACCTCCTGGACAACTCACCTGCCCCAGCGGCCGTTCCCTAAGGATAGCTCTTCCCCTCGGGGGGCTTCAGACTCCTTCCGGCTGGGCACAGGTTGGGGGAGGGGACAGGGGGCTCTGCCCAGCCCCCAGACTGGCTGGTTCAGGGCTCCTCTGACCACGCTGCTACCCAGCCTCCCTGGGCTCTCAGGACCCTCAGCCTTCCATCGAGGCCCAGCACCCGGTGCACCCCCCTTCACCCTGCCGGGTCCCCGCTGGGCACGCCCTTCCTGGTAACTGTGTCCTCACCACTCAAGCCCTCACTCAAGAGTGTCCTCCGCGGGCAGCTTCCCGGCCCTGCTCTGACCGACACAAGGTGCAAGATCGTGTCCAGGCCTGTGCCCCTGAGGCCCGCCCCGCGGCTCCAGCTACACCCGCAGCTTTGAGTGGGTGACTGGTCAAAAGGTTGCATAGAGCGAGGCTGGGCAGAGCCGCACGGCCGCGACCTCCCACCGGGAGGCTCCGTGTCCTCATCTGTGAAATGGGTGGGCGCTGCGGGCTCTGAACCTGCCGCCCCGGCCCGCGCCCGTTCTCCCCGGCGCGCCGCGACCGCGAGGGGACACCAGAGGGCGCTCGCGGCCTGCGGGAAAGGCCTCACGGGGCGGGGCGCGGCCGAGGGGGGCGCCGGGCTGCGGAGGCCCGGCCTGGCGGGGGCGGGGGCGGGGGTGGGTGGCCGCGGGGCCGGGCAGACGCACCCCTCCTCGCGGGCGGCCGCTGACAGACACTCCTCCGCTCTTCTCCCCTCCTTGCCCGGCTCGCTGACAGCCCGTCAACCGGGAAGATAAGGGACCCCTTCCGCCCGGCGGACACGGGGTCAGCCCAGGTGTGCCCTCCGCCCTCCCGCCGCCTGTTTGCTCCGTAAACACTTATTGAGCCCCTGCTGTGTGCGCCGCGGCCGCTCCCGCGCGGGCGGCGGGCCGAGGACGGAGGGGCGGAGGGGGGCTCCCCGGCGAAGTGGGGCAGAGGCTCCGCCACCTTCCCAACGGCCCGGGGAGGTGAGGGGAAGCCTGGGTGGGGGCCGACCCCTTACTGGCGGGGACGAGGCCCTGGGAAGGTCTGGGGGTCCGAGGCCCTGGCCGTGTTGGGGGGCGGGGGGCCGCCCAGACAGAGCAACAACATTGGGGTGGGTGGCGGGGCCCTGGGGGCCCATAGCTCACCGCACCGTCTGCGCCCACCCCCGGCGTTTCCGATGGAAGACAGGCAGCGGGTGATAAATCACCAGCCCCCACCCCCACCCAGCCAGGCCGCCATGGGAAAGGGGGGCTGCGTGTGACAGAGACAGTGCCCGAGATGAACAGAGACTGCCTGCAGACCCAGAGACAACCAAAGGGACCAGGCAGCTGTGCCCGGCCAGCTGACCCCCACCATGGCCCTCCGCTCAGGGTCTCCACCAGGCCCATCTGGAAACCGGCTGAGAGCCACCGCACCCTACCGACCCCCGACAGGGAGGAGGAGGCGGGAGGGAGCATGGCC